ATGAAGCAAATGTATACTGCCTTATTCAGGGAAGGAGGAGCCTGCCCTGCCTGCCCCTGTGACCTTGTCCCCCCAAGCAGGGGTCTGAGATGTGGAACTGCCCCCTACTGAGCGGGGAGACCCAGTTTTGTCAATGCAATTAATTGTCTCTGTTTTACAACTTGGAGTCACTCTTATGCTGTATCCAGTTTTGAAACTGGAGACTGTACCCTCAGGGCTCTGAGTGCTTGTGTGGGCCTGGGCCTTGAGCTGGATTGGAAAGAGCTGATGAGATGGCCTTTGTGCTCCTTGCCTGGCATCTGCTCCCCAAGTGCACAGAGGTGGACAATATTGCAAGGGCATATGGCACAGCTAGGTGCCTAGAGTTCCACTGGGCCTATCAGGAGGGATTATCTCTGGCAGTCTGAGTTGTGATCTTGCCTGGCCAGAGATCCACCTGGTAGAAGAGAAAGCCCCTGTGCTGCCACCAACTGTCCTATACCACCAGCTCTGTGTTTCCTTAGCTCTGCCCCTCCCAGTGAGTTCTTGGCCCCTTTCCTACCTGGAGGAAGAATGGCAACAGGGGTCAGGGAAACAGTATCTCCAAGCAGCTTAGAGTCGGCCGAATTTACCTCAGCCTGGGCGCTGGTCCTTTCTTCCGGCCCCTCCCTTCCAAAATGTGCCTATTGCTAGAGCTCCTCCCTCCCAACTTCCAGTTTCCTTGGGAGTTGTCATTAAAGGAAAAAAAGTCAATGCCCAGGGATGGGCGTCTCCAGGGAGCTGGAGACTAGCACCAGGCAGCTCATTGCCAGCCATGCCCACTTCCCTGTGGGCTAGAACAAGCCAAAGCCTTCGTTGTATGTTGACGATGCACTTTTATGAATGTAGTTTCTATCGCTGTTTTTTAGCCTTTTCACATCATGTAATGTGAGGCCTTGTACTTGTTAATTTATATCTCAGATCATATTTGATGGTTTTTATATATATCAATTCTAGACTGTTACAGGTGATGGACGCCTCAAGAGAGAAGAGAAAAATGGAAGCAGCTAGTTTTACAAGAAATGTGTGTTGCACAGTGCCAATTGGGGCTGGGCCCTTGTACCATCCCCATTCCCCCAAGGGCCTCTATCAGATCACCCGCTGAGGCTGGTGAGCCTGAGAGTTCACCAAGCACCTGCTCCTGCCTGCATCTCAGCCCTTGTTCAGGGTGGTGACTGGGTCCTTCATCTCGACCAAAGCTGCCAGTGGTAGCTCGGCCTCTCCACAACCATCCTGATGGCTGTAGCACTCCTTAGCCCATTCCCCAAGAGGAAATAGAGTGTGGTGCCACTGACAAGATGAGACGACCCTGCGCTTTGTGTGTCCCATCTTCAGGCTCTCACAGAGCCCCGCCCCCCAGGGTCTTACCTCATAGGGAAATGTGTTTTAAAACCAAATTTTCAAAAAAGCCAACAAATCCTGCACTCCAGAAAACAAAAGCACCCTGATTTTTTTGTGTGTGCCAAAAACTGTGGACATGATGGCTCAGCATCCTCAGGACCAAGCTGTTGCCTAATTTTAATTTATTGTTTCTTATTAACTCATCAAGATAAAAAGTTGTGGGGCTCTACAAGGTCCTGGACTCAAAGCAGTTTCCTAGCAGCTTGATGTGGGGAAGAGGCCATTCTGCTAGTTTCTTATCATTCCATGGGGTGTATCTGCCCAGGCCACCACCACACAAAAGGCCCAGGGCTGGATCAGTGTGCATTCTGCCACCCTTTTACCCTTCCAGCCCACCCAGCTCTGTGTCTGAATTGTGGATCGTGCAGAAGAACCTGCAGCCATAGTTATCTGACTATACTTTGACCGAGTGCTTGCAGTGCAAAGCCAGGCCAGTGTCACACATTACTTACAATAAAAGGGATCATTTATACCAGAGGGGTCCTGTGGCCATGCTTGTGGTTGTTGTGGGTGGAGGAGTAAATGTTCACTTGGCAACAAGCTTGGACTCCTGGAATAGACTCCAAGAAGTGGGGTCCCCTTCTGGTGGCCGAGTACCAGTTAGCTCTGAGATGGTCCCTCTTTCCCCTCCCTCCCTCTTGCTTTTTCCATGCTCTACTGAGAGGGCACTATTGGCCATTCTAACTGGAACATCATCGGTGGCCAGATCATTGGAACTTAATGGCCCAGAGGTATCCCTTAGTCTCATCATTGCAGGACAGTAGTCAAAAGTAACCCCTCCAGCATCTTCCCTGGCCCGCCTGCCACTTGCTTAAACTGAATAGGAAAGACAGTTCTTGTCCCCAGCAGACTTCTGGTACAAGGAACTCCTTGAAGTTCAACTCCAAATAAAGCTCTGGGCTCTTGTGCTTCAAGGACTCAGGCCTTAGCTGCCACCCCTGCTTACTGAGGACACCGAGGACACACTGGTTCATTTGCCATCAGGGCAAAAGATTTGAGTTGTAAAGCCAAAAAATCCTCTCGGAGCTAGGCATTGGTGGCTCATTCCTGTAATCCTAGCTATTCAGGAGGCTGAGTTGTGAGGATTGAGGTTCAAAGCCAGCCCAGGCAGGAAAGTCTGTGAGACTCTTATCACCAATAAAGTACTCTCAAAAAGCCTGAAGTAGTGCTGTGGCTCAAGTGTTAAAGAGTGTTAGCTTTAACCAAAAGAAGCTCAGGGACAGTACCCAGGCCCTGAGTTCAAGCCCCAGGACTGACACAAAAAGAAAAATATCTCTAAGAGTTTGTTCTCAGGCTGGGAAGGTGGCTCAGTGGTAGAGTGCTTGCCTTGCATGCATGAAGCCCTGGGTTTGATTCCTCAGCACCACATAAGTAGATTTTTTTAAAAAGCCAGAAGTGGCGCTGTGGCTCAAGTGGTAGAGTGCTATCCTTGAGCTGAAGAGCTGAGGGACAGCGCCCAGGCCCAGAGTTCAGGCCCCATGACTGGACCAAAAAAAAAAGAGTTTGTTCTCTTGTTCCACCTATTTATCCCATGGTTTGCAGAAGTCAGTATAGCAGGTCTGGGGCAGGACAACCCAGACTTCTGTTAGGTAGGAATGGGGTATAGGGAAGCTTCCAGAGTCACCTCTGTGTTTCTGGACTCTGAGGAGCAGTTTCTACCTGGATGACCTGACTTGAGAAAAACTTTGGCTTCCCCTCTCCTGAAATCTTAAGAAGACACAGGGAATTAGAACAAGAAAGGCCATAGTCACTGAAACCTTTCATAGCACTTGCTGGCTCTGCAAGGACCCATCATTGAAGATTTCCAGAGCCAAAGGGCCAGGAAGGAACTGGACACCTGGGAGCAGCTAGTAGAAAGGGGCCAAATAAGGACTTAGTCAAAGGGTTCTGCCCTACATCCCACCCTCCTGTAGAGCAGATAGGCTGAGCACCATCGATGCTTGTACTTACTTGTACTCCTCAGGATAGAGGTGTCAATGTATGGACAGTGAGCAGGGAGACAGAGTGGGGTTTTCAGATAAAGAAGTCAATTTGATGGCATAGCATCATGCTTGGGCCAAGGACCACCCCATCTTCTCAAGCTGGCTAGCAGTTTTTCCTGACACCCACTAACCGCCCCCCCAACCATGGACCATGAGGGTTCTGGGTTCCCCTTCCCCTTGCCATATGCCTTTGCATCTTTCCACAGCCCCTCCCCCCCAATCAGGCCACAATAGAGTCAGGGATCTGTTTAAACATGTTTAAAATAGGGTCGGTCACAACAGAATGACAGAAACAATGGAGAAGATTGGGGGACAATTCCCCCGCTGGTCACTGAGGCTGTAGCCTGGTGGCTTTTAATTTTGTGGTGCATGGGAGTCCCAAAGCAGCAGGCCCTGCTTTGTCACTTCCCCATCCCCTCCCCCACCACCTTGGTGGCCCCATGATGCCCAGCAGGTGGCACTCTTGCTCTCCTCCCAGTCTCGGTGGCTCAGGACCAGGCTAAGGGCAGAGGTAGATGGGTAGACTTGGGGCCCACAAAAGGCCCAGGTGGCAGTGAGGGAGCTTGGGACCCTGAGGGGGGGTAACATGCGGACTCCTTGCTGGAGAAAAGGCACCTAGATAGGGAAGCTGGGCTTGGCCTCCCGGGGGGCCACGGGTAAGGTGGGGGTGGGTTGAAGATAGCAGGAAGCAGGGTGGCCAGCAAACCCAGTCCTGGTTCCCAAATTCCCACCCACTGAGGAAGGAAGGAAGGAATTCTGGGGCAGAGAGCCCTGTGCCTGGAACTCGGCCTGAGCTAGCCTTGCCTCCTTCCCACCCTGCCCCACCCCCCCAGCCCAGATCAGCCCCTTTCCCACCCTTCTTCCCGCTGGCCAGCTCCAGGCCCTCTACTACGGAGGGAGTGGAGGGGCAGAAGGGGCTCAGGCTGTCTTGGTGCCCAGGTCCACCTCCTTGTGGGCCCAGAGCTCCTTGTGCTGTTTGCGGCCAAACCCCTCATCGTAGTTGCCTTTGCTCTTAAAGAGCTGCTGAAAGTGGGGTTTGCAGTAAAACTCGCCATGCAGCGCCGCGTAGCTGCCCAGGCTGCAGAAGCAGAACACACGGGTCAGGCAGGGTCAGGCCTGGAAGAGCGGACAGGGGCGGGCGGGCGGGGCGGGGGCGCACCTGAGCTTGGTGTGGCAGTGTTTGCAGCAGAAACAAGAGTTGTGGAAAACAAGCTTGTCTGCCACCAGCCGCTCCATGGGGTACACTGTCTTCTGGCAAGCTGAGCAGGTCTCCTTCACCTGGGCCCGCAGGCTGAAGGACTGGAGAGGAGGGGCGGGGGCACTCAGCCAGGGGCCTGACCGGTACCCACCTGTTCCTCCACCCACACTCACCCTCCGGGCCCTACCTTAGAGCGTTGCACTGTGCTGCTGCCACCGCTGCCTTTGGCTTCCTGAAAGAGGGGCGATCAGGGCGATCTGGAGCGGCCCAGCCTGGATCCGAGGGGCGCTCAAGAGGGGGGACACAGAGTGGGAAGTATACGCTCTGCTCCCCTCCCCCCTCCCCGGCGCCGGTAACCTACATGAGACGGGGTGGTCTGGGCGGCTCCCGCAGCCTGGAACATGCTGGTCCAAGGTGATGGTGGCCCCGACAGAGACGCGGCACCCGCTGGGTTCTGCAAGGGGAAGTCGGTCGGTGGGGCCCCCGGCAGGCCCTCCCCCAGCCTGCGGGGTGGGGATGTTGACAGGCAGGGGGCTGGGGGGCTGCGGTTGGGACTTTCCCTAAGTCATTTCCTGTTGCTCTGGGTCTTGCCACTTCCGCCCCCCCACCCACCCCCTCGCCGCCGGCCCTCACGCTGCTCCCCCAGGGGCCGGGGTCCCCGAGTGGAGCCTTGTGTGGGGAAAGAACAAAGTTAGCGGGGGCTGCAGGAGGCAGGGGGGCTCCTCCCGGGGTGAGGGCAGGTCAGGAGAGGGCGGGGCCGGACGCGGCCTGGCGAGAACCCGCTGTCCCGGCCTGACCCGCACCCCACACAGACCCGGCGCGGGCCCGGGCGCCCAGCCCCTGGACAGCGCTCGCGCCCCGCTCCCGCCCCGCCCGGCCGCGCCGCAGCCCGCGCCCCGCTTCTCGGCCTCCGGACCCGCGGGGCTCCCGCCAAGGGCCGGCCCCATAGGACCGACGCGAGCTTCTGGATCCCCGGGGCCACAGCAACGCCCGGAGCCGCCGGGCATCGGGACCCCGCGAGCTGCGGTGGGGTCGGCCCGCGCCCCCCACCGCGGCGCCTCGCTTCGAGCCCCCGAGGAGGCCCTCCCCTCCACCCCCGGGGTCTCACCGGGCCCCGGCCTGGGCCGTGGGGCGGGGGTCTGTCTCAGGGAGGGGGGAAGCCTCGGGTGCGAGCAGGGCGCGGGCACGAGCGCGAGCTGCCGCCGCCGCCGCCGCCAGTGGTCCCCGAGCGGCCGCCACCGCCTTCTCTCGGCGCCACCCCCACCGGCCCCCGCCCCGCGCCCGCCCATTGGCTCCGCGCGCCCGGAGCCGCCTCCGGGGCCCCGAGCTGCAGCCGACCCTCCTCTGCGCTTTGTCTTCCCTTCGCTCGCCGGCCCCCGCCTTTGTCTGCCCCCCACGCCGGCCCCTCGCAGCCCGCGGACCCCTCGATCGCCGCCGCCTCGGGACAACCGACGGCGAGGGGCTCCAGGCGACGGCGCGTGGGGAAGGGACGGAGAAAGAGGCCGAGCACCCCCCCCCCCCGCCGCGCGCCCCGTACCGCCCGGCGCTGTGCAGGGGCGAGTTCTGGTTGTGGTTACGGTGCTGGCGCCTTTTGTTGCCTCAGTTTCCCCTGTTGGCCTTTGTAGTTTCGGGTTTCAAAGGTCCCTGTCCCCCGCCACATGCTGTAGAGGCCCCGCAGCAAGAGCGATCCGGCTGGAGAGAACCCGGGGGCAGACCTGAGGGTCCCCAGGACCGGCTCAAGCCCCCGTTCTGTCACCCTGCAGCCTAGGGCCCTTGCATGGCCTACGGAGGAAGATGGAGACCACGCGGGGTCATGCCATGCCACACCGGGTCCCGAGGCTGAGCAGCCTGGGTCCTGGGAGGGCGGGGCGGGACCCCTCCTCATGTCTCCGGTGGCCTGTGTCCCTGCTCACCACCCAGTGCTGCTCCTGCAGCTCCACATTGCCTAGGCCTCCCCAGGCGGTTTCTGGGCTGGACTCAGCTCACCAGCCTCCGCCGACGCCCAGGGCATGCCCTCGGGAGGAGGATGACCGCCCAAACCTCATTCCACAAAAGGTTGCTGAAGGGACTTGGTTTAGGAACCTAGTGCAACCGGGCTGCTCCCTGCAGCTTCTACAGCACCAGTGCCCAGCAGTCACTCTGGAGGGTTGAGCCCCAGCAGGGGGGGAGAAGGGTTCATGGCCTATCCTGGACCTCTGCTTGCAGGTTGGGCTTCCTGGGCCCCAGCAAGTGACTGGCTTTGCCTGAAGCCAGGCTGGAGGCACTTTCAGAAAGCATAGCCTTCACCAGCCTGTACCCACACTTGGCAGGAATAGAGCTGGTGGGTCCACAGCCGGCCCACACACGTGTCAGGAAACAGAACAGCTCCAAGCCTCTTGCCTGGCAGAGGAGCGGAGAGGTAGCACCTCCCCCCACCCCAATCAATTCACTGACGGCCCAGTGCACACCCACGCTGAGCCTCGCTTTTCTCTTTTAGAGAATGTTTTGCCTGCGCAGTGGGCTGAGTGAGAATCCTCTACATCTGCGCTCTGTGTGGCTCTCTGGAGGACATGTGCATGTGCACACCCATCATCCATATTCCTAAGGAGATGGCTGATGCAAAAAAAGGGACACCTTCAGGACACCAGCAGCAGGCTCCCGGGCACTGTCCCAGGCCCTTACCTGAGGTCCGTTGTCCTTCTGGGACCATAGATAGGTTGAACTTCAGGGAGTTACCAGACTAAGCAGTTTGGGTGTTGAGGATAGGCTGACTGGAAGGAAAAAGGCAGGAGAGAAAATGGAGCCAAGCTTGGTGGTGCACATCTTCAATCCCAGCACTCTGAAGGTAGAGAGTATTTCAAATTCCAGGACAGCCTGAGCAACATAGGGAACCAGTCACTGTCTCACAAAACCAATTCTGTAGTGTCTGTACAGGGTGCTGGTAGCTTATATGAATCCTAACTACCACTGAGGCTGAGAGCTGAGGATCAGTGAAGCCTGTGAGACTCATCTCCAGTTAACCACCAGAAAACTGGAAGTGGCACTGTGGTTCAAAGTGGTAGAATACTAACCTTGAGCAAAAGAGCTCAGGGGCAACACCCAGGCCCTGACTTCAAGCCCTACAACCAACAAGGAAAAAGAAAGAAAAGAAAAGATGTAAAGATGCAGGGCCACATGTATAATCCTTGCTCCTAACCAGGAAGCTGTGGGAAGAAAATCCATTTAGCCTAGGACCCAGGAGTTTAAGACCAGCCTGAGCAATATATTAAGCTACACACACACACACACACACAGAGCCATTGTGGGGGAAATCAAAGCTCAAACAACAACACAAAAAGAATTGTATAGGGGCTAACTGGGATCTATCCTCATCATGAGAGATTCTTTAATTTTCTTTCTTTCTGAGGAAATGGAAAATGATGTTCCAAGCAGCCACAAGGCAGTGAGGGGGTGGGGGTAAGATTCCTTAATGAAGCATTGAAGAGTGGAGAAGAGCCCTCAAATTGGAGAATGTCGCAGCAGCAGAAGGAGGCTAGGCTGGGCCAGGCACTGGTGTTTTAGGCCTGTAATCCTAGCTACTTAGGAGGCTGAGATCTGAGGATCTTGATTCAAAGCCAGGCCAGGTAGGAAAGCCCAAGATTCTTATCTCCAATTAAGAGCTGTAGCTCAAAGTGAGAGAGCGCTAGCCTGGAGCAAAAGAGCTCAGGGACTGTGCCTAGGCCCTGAGTTCAAGTCCCACAGCCAACAACAACAATAAAAAAGAGTCTAGGCTGGGGCTATGCATACACAAGCTCCTGGCAGGAGCAGGAGATCCTGGAGACAGAAGCCCAGGTTAAGATGGGTCCTTTGTTCCTACCTCACTGGCTACCACCAGGATGACAGGTTTCAAAGATGGTACCAAATGTAAGGACATTCAGCAAGTCCTGTCATAAGACAGATTCCTCTGTCTTTTCCTGCTGAAGACAGAAGCCCTAATGACCCCAAAAGTGGTCCTGTTTGTGCAGTGGCTGGTGTCCTGCATCTAGCCCATTCCAGATTCAAGTGATTTGATGACATCAGGAAAAATTTAATACAACTATCTTTAAATTTTAGATAATGAAGTAACTATTATGGGTTTTCAAAAAATGTATGAAGCCAGGCATAGTGGTTCATGCCTATAATTCCAGCCCTTGAAGGCTGAGGCAAGGAGGAATGAATATGAAGACAGGCTATACTACACAGAGAAACCTTGTCTCAAAAAACACTCTGAGCCAGGCGCCAGTGGTTCACACCTGTAATCCTAGCTACTCAGGAGACTGAAATCTGAGGATCACAGTTCAATGCCAGCCCAGGCAGGAAAGTCCATAAGACTTATCTCCAATAAACCACCAGAAAACCAGAAGTGGTGCTGTGGCTCAAGTGGTGGAGCACTAGCCTTGGAGCTCAAGGACAGATCCAGGCCCAGAGTTCAAGCTCCAGGACTGACAAAAGAAAACAAAAACAAAACATTTTGGTGGGCTGGAAATGTAGCTTAGTGGTAGAGTACTTGCATAGCATACATGAAGCCCTGGGTTTGATTCCTCAGTACCACATAAACATGAAACAGCCTGTAATGGTGCAGTTGCTCAAGTGGCAGAGTACTAGCCATGAGCAAAAGAAGTTCAGGGACAGAGCCCAGGCCCATGACTGGGAAGAAAAAAAATTCTAGTAGCAGAACCCAGGGTAGTCTGAGCCTGTCTGGTCATTCTTAGAAACACAAACATAAGGAAGCATGCTGACACATACTACATTTCCCACCAGAGTCTCTGAAAATTTTAATTTGTTAAAACAAAGAGTAATACAGCACAGGTACTTAGGCCCTCAGGCAAGGCATGACAATAGGGCCCTTGGAAGAGGCACCAAGGCAGCTGGCAGGAGGGTTAAGATGGATTCTGGGGAAAGGAGTAAGCTAAACAGATGAGCTACAGGAAGGGTTCAGGTGTCAAGTGTCCAAAAGATAAGAGGGCAAGGAAGATCTGCCCCAGCTTTTAACCTGGTGTTTAAGATGACAGCATTACCCTGCCCTTCAATAATCATTGAGACCTGAGGGTCAAGGAGGCAGGCTCCTTGTAACTTGCCTCTTTGCTGGCCTATAGAACTTGGGAGAAAGGAAAAGAACGGCAGCAGAACAAGCTGTGGGAAGAGGAGGTGAAGAGAGGAGGTGACGGTTCCCTTGGTCCACGAGTCAAACCCAGGGCTTGGACTGCAGCCTCGGGGTATGAGCAGCATCTCTTCCTTCTGAGGTCCACTGAGCTTGAAGCTTTCTGCCAGCGGTTTCTTCTGGAATGTCCCTCCAACCAGCCAGTACTCTGCTGTGACTGGCAGAATTCCTTTCTACCCAGTCTGCATCCAGCCCTCAGGAAGGGCCTGGGGGCCTAGAGCACAGTCTACAAACGCTCAGAATTCCCAGTCGTCCACCTCCAGCTCTTCCAGGCTGGTCACCAGGCCAAAGATTTCATTCTGATCCTGAGACTGGCTGCCTTCAAAATTGGTGATGGGGGTGACAGGACGAAGTAACTCAGGCAAAGCCTCGGAGGCACGCCGCTTGATCTGGGGAAGAGAAGCAGTTAGGAGCTATAGCCTGAGGCTCAGGTCCCAGGACACCAATGGGGCAGGATGCACAGCCTGAGGCTTCCTCCAGTGCAACAGGAGGAACCCCACAGCTAGAACCACAGTTGCCTGACTATACCTGCTTGAAGAAGGAGTGGCTCAGGAGGGCACTGGCACTGGGCCTGGAAAGGAAGGGGAGAGACTCACATAGTGCTTGTGCCTGGCTTTCCACACACTGCAGCTCATGCCGCACCCTCAGACACCCTCTCTCCAGTCCTTCCCCCAGCTCACCAAAATTCCACAGCCAGAGCCACAAGGCAAGAAGCTGATTTCTCTTGCTATGCCTCCGCCTCCCAGGGACTTAGCGGTACTCATCCTCTCAAATCCTGGCCCAACTCCAGACTCCTCACTTCTCCCCCCCCCCCATACCGCCAAAGCCTGGCTGCAGGTCAGTAGATACCTCGAGTCAGGATTTCGCTGAAGGCACTGCTCCACAAAGTGGTGGAAGTGAGGGGAGAAGGTCCGGTGGTAGGGGTGGAAAGGTGAGTCGCCATTGGAGGGCCGGGAGGTGCTGGATGCCAGGCTCTCCCCCAGGCCAGGGTTGGTCCCTGAGCGCGAGGGGCTCATGGTCAGCTCCTCAGCAGGGATGGTGCTGGTATCCAACAAGCAGGGCACTGTGCCATTCAGTTTCTCCAAAAGCATCTGCAGGGGCAGAGCCAGGCCTGAGCTGGAGGAGTTTCCTCCCAGACACATTCTTCCTCCTCAACAAATACATCTTTCAGGAGCCAAAGTGGAAGGGAAATCAAAAGTAACTTTTCCAAAGGGATGCTGGCTACTGGCTTGGGAGTTTGTGGGGAGGGAGAAGAGGGAGGTTAAGATGTACCCTTTCGGGGCTGGGAAGTTGGCTCAGTGGTAGAGCGCTTGCCTTGCATGCCTGAGGCCCTGGGTTCAATTCCTCAGCACCACATAAGCAAAAAGAAAAAAGCTGGAAGTGGTGCTGTGGCTCAAGTGGTGGAGCGCTAGCCTTGAGCTGAAGAGCTGAGGGACAGTGCCCAGGCCCCGAGTTCAGGCCCCACGACCGGACCCCAAAAAAAGAAAAAAAAGATGTACCCCTTCTCCATGGCTGGAAGGAAGGGCTGTTTCCTCTCCCCCTTTACTAGGCTTTGAACTCTACAGCCCTCCCCTTAGGGTGGAGGCCGCCATCTTTTAAGCCCAGTCCCA